TTATACGCACATGAACTTTAATGGCACCCCAGTCTTAGTCCGTAGGGTTCAATATTGAGTTGGCCTACCCTTTGCAGCTATAACAGCTTCAACTCTTCTGGGAAGGCTGTCCACAATGTTTAGGAGTGTGTCTATGGGAATGTTTGACCATTCTTTCAGAAGTGCATTTGTGAGGTCAGGCACTGATATCAGATGAGAAGACCTGGCTCGCAGTCTCCACTCTAATTCATCCCAAAAGTGTTCTATTGGGTTGAGGTCAAGACTCTGTGCAGGTCAGTCAAGTTCCTCCACCCCAAACTCGCCCTTCCATGCCTTTATGGACCTTGCTTTGTGCACTGGTGCGCAGTCATGTTGGAATAGGAAGGGGCCATCCCCAAACTGTTCCCACAAAGTTGGGAGCATGAAATTGTCCAAAATGTCTTGGTATGCTAACGCCTTAAGAGTTCCCTTCACTGGAACTAAGGGGCCAATCCCAACCTCTGAAAAGCAATCCAATGATATTGAGGGGAGTCCCGATGCTTTTGGCTATATAGTGTATATACATTATATTGTACATTTACATCAGCCCCTGCCCTCAAGGAGCTTACCATCTAAAGTCTCTAATGTTCGTACTACAGCCAATTTAGACAGGAGTCTACAAACCTATCAGCATGTCTTTGGAGTGTGGAAGGAAACCCATGCAGACAAATGAAGAACATGCAAACTCCAGGCAGGTAGTGCCATGGTTGGGATTTAAACCAACCACCCTAGTGCTGCTAGTTTGAAGTGTTAACCACTTAGCCACTGTGCTGCCCATATTAGTACTGCCCATATTAGGTTGTATCCTATTGTTTAGTGTATTTTACTAGCTGAAGGTAATTAAAGCATGTGTCACAGATTTATCCTCTGAACTATACATATACTCTGATGTCTTGACTTAAACTTAAAAGGCTAATTCCACATTTTGCAAAAAATATTAAATACACCCATGTTGATTATTAAAAAAATTACATTTATAATTCATTTGCAATAGAGTCTGCAAAGCATTGTAGCCATGACCAGAGGATCATGGGTTCAATGGTCTGGCTCCTTCAGCCTATTTCTCCATCCTTAGGTCCATACCAAGGTACAGACCTTCAGTTACAGATCTGCAGGAAGCACCAAAAGACTTGAAGTGCTGTGACCTCACCACACTTGTGCTCAATTAAGAACTACAAGCTCCTGTGCCCTGGTCATAGATGGCAGTTTATTTCATTCGCAGATTCCAAATTCACAAAATTACAGGAACTTGCAGAGGGGAAAAACTCCTGCATTCTGTAAGGGGGTGCAAGGGGGTAGCAGTTTGGGTCCGGGGTGCTGCAGGTTGTGGACATGTTTCATGGTACACCCTAAATACGAGTGTAACATGAAACATGATCAGAAAGATAGACTTTTCTTTTGAACTAGTATTTGTGACACAATCTTATTAGGCGCGCTCGCTATCTTCACAAAGCCCTATTATTATAAGTTAATAACAGTAACACACAGGGTTTTTCAGTTGCAAGAAATGTAATAATAGTCCCTTTGGGAGCTAATGTGGTAGTTTATTCAGAAAGACAGGAAGAAAGAAGGGCACAGGGATGTGATTGTAAAGAAAGGGGAAGAGTGCCTGTACAAATAGGCATAGCTGGAAGGAATGTAGAAAACATTAGCTCATGGTGACTAGCACCTGCAGTTTTCACCTGGAAAATGACTGCCAGCTGCATTAAGAAATGATGTATGCTGCAGAATTAGGAACCTGGAAGAAACCGCTCAGAGGCTTTTTACAATGAAAAATTTAAGAGGTAAGAAGAGAAGGCAATTTGTAGGCACAACATTTGAATAGTACAAGTGTAATTAAGTCTTTAATGTGCTGTTCATTTATCTTATTTGCTTCTCTGTCTTCATCTCTATGCTTACAAAGACTGGGCTTCACATTTCTCTTTTATAGTTGCGATATTAAGCTCTGGATTTGTTATATATCTACCTGAAATGATGGAGTAACATTAGATGAGTCTAGTCCAGACAGAATAGGATGTCATCAGCCACAGTTTTAACACAGTATGGTTGATGTGTGACTGATGTACTTGCTTGTTGTTCTAGTAATTTTAGAATTAAAGAACAGGGAGTAGATGTAAAAACAGCCAGCTCATCAGTTATTGTGGCCAAAAGCGAAATACAGCACAGATGAATAGAGAGATCCTCAAGAGATGCCAAATACTTGTAGAGGTTCATAAGTGATATACTCTGTGTATGTATATGTGCATATATATATATATATATATATATATTGTAATATTTGGGGATGTTTAGCTCAGTGGTAGATGCATTTGCAAGTGAGTTCACGCCAGTCAGGAACTATTTTTTAGGGCTTAGTAGCCCACTTTTATTAAAAGGAAAGTCCAAAACACGTAATGTTTCCCATGCACAGGTTCTTCTCCAGCAAAATATACATACTCCAAATGAGAATGCTAGCCCACCTGGCTACTCATCAGCAGTACTGCTGCTAAAGATACTGGTCCCTCTGACCACCAGCTCTTCCAGGCACACAGCTTAGAGCTTCTCAGACACACACAGCTCCTCTGGCATAGTCCTTAGGCCACTAACCATCTCTTGCAAACAATCATACTGCTGCTGCCACATGCAGCCTCTCTGACTCCTGTAGGAGACCTTCTGTCTCTCTTGGGTGAAACCCTGCTGTTCCTCCACAAAACCCAGACACTGGGTTGGAGATTCTGTCCCACCCAAGGCACTATGGAATCTCCAAACTAGGGAGCCCCATCCAGGACTATCAAAGCCTGGAGAAAGCTGCAAAAGCAGTTTTCTCCATTCAGAACATCTGCTTCCTAATCTTGCACTCAGCAAAAATGCAAAACCTTTGTCCTTTTGCTGACAACTTACACTGTGAAAGAACCACATACTGTTACAATGTATACATACACTATATAGCCAAAAGTATTGGGATGCCTACCTTTACACGCACATGAACTTTAATGTCATCCCAGTCTTAGTCCGTAGGGTTCCATATTGAGTTGGCCCACCCTTTGCAGCTATATTACCTTCTTATTCTTCTGGGAAGGTTGTCTACGAGGTTTAGGAGTGTGTCTATGGGAATGTTTGACCATTCTTTCAGAAAGTGCATTTGTGAGGTCAGGCACTAATGTAGGACAAGAAGGCCTGTCCCGCAGTCTCTGCTCTAATCATCCCAAAGGTGTTCTGTCGGATTGAGGTCAGGACTATGTGCAGGCCAGTCAAGTTGTTCCACCCCGTACTCGCTTATCCATGTTTTTATGGACCTTGTTTTGTGCACTAGAGTCTAGTGGTGGTGTGCTTTACACCACTTCATCCAACACTTTGCATTGCACTTGATTTTATACACCTGTGGCCTTGAAAGTGATTGGAATGCCTAAATCCAATGATTTGGAGGGGTGTCCCAATACTTTTGGCAAGACTGTGTGTTTGTGTGTAGACTCTTTTCTTAGTTTTCAGTCAATATGCATGTCTGTAGTTGTTCCCTAAGTATGAAGTATGATCAATGCAATGTACAAATACAGCCTATAATAAAAATGAGTATAATAGCCACTTGCAGAATTGTTGTAGCTGATGACAACTGACTTTTTTATTACACACTAGTCCGTGACCTTGGAGGTGGACACCATTTTATTTGTCAGCCTTTATGTGTCTTAACCTTGTTTCTTTGCAAAGGCCCACTATACAATCCAATAAACAGTCCAAAAGAAGAAGAACATTGCAACAATAAATAAAGTTTGGTACATTAAATTTCAGTAACCTGCTGGTTTGCAATGTTGAGCTCCTACAGAGAGAATGCTTTGTTATTCTCTAAGGACCCTTCACACTAACCCTTCTGTAACTCTAACCCAAACACTATCTCTTCCTGCAACCCTAACACTAACCTTTCATGTATTCCAGTCTCTAAAACTAACCCTTCCTGTAACCCTAATGCAAACACAAACCCTCCCTGTAACTCCTAACACTAACCTTCCTTGTAAGATTTACTCAAACTTGTAATCCGAACCCATACACCAACCCTCCCCACAGCCGAACACTATTCCTCTATGTAACCCTAACACCAACCCTTCATGTAACCATGACCTAAACCTTAAGCCTTGCTTTTGTAAACTTAACCCCTTGTTGACATACTTACCTCTCCTGCGCCAACCCTTTCTGCTTTGAAAGACATCCGTGTCTTAACACAGGAATCTACCAATTGACATGAAGTTTAAGGTTGAGGGGGACACCTATGTTTTAGGAGTCCTGTTATTTTATCTTCAGTAAACAGTACCTACTCTATTTAACTTAGAACTTGTAAAATATTAAGTTTAGTACAATTTTAAATATATTATTCTCTTATACAATATATTAAGATGTTGTTTTGAGTATAGAGGAACATTTGCCATATGCTGTTGAAGGCATTCAGCTGAAACTCCCGATGTTATAGCAGTGAACAGGATGTTTTCCCACTAACACAAAGCAATGGTATTTTCACTGCATCTCCAAAGGAAGTCTTTTCAACTTATTAACTCTAATTAATGCCAGGAATCCCATACTCTGTCCTCTGCCTTTCCCATCAAGTCACTCGACTCTCATTTTGCATCTCATTTGTATGGGGAGTGCATATCTTTCCTTGATCACTTTATACTCATGGAAAAAGTAAACTATGCTTTCATGAAAGTTTGCTGAGATTGTTTACATGGAACATTTTACTTGTAGTACTGAATGGGCTAAATCATTAACCATATCAGGATAATTAGCCCTATTTACTGAGCGCCATCAAAGAGATTGCATGTTTGAATGTATAGAGAACATCCCCCTAATGATGTGTGTGGGTAGACCACGTTTATGCTCGCATTTTTCTTTGCTATTCTTTTTTGGTTTGTTTTAACTCGCTTCATTCCAAAATGTAATTTATATAGCTAAATGTACTGTATATATACTATATCCTCAGCCACATCTGTAATCTTGTTTCTTTTATACTTTTGTAGATTTTTCCTGGGAACAATGACGCAACAGAAGTGGTTTTGAACAAGATTCCTCAGCCAGTGTTAACCCGATTTGTGCGCTTTCGTCCTCAGACATGGCATATGGGAATAGCTATGAGAGTGGAGCTATATGGCTGCCAGATTACAGGTATTGTTTTTAAAATGATTACATGTTTAAAGCCCACTTGAGCCTTCTGTTTAAGTCAGATCAATATATTCCAGGTGCATAAAAACAAAAAGTATTCAATGTCTTACAGTTTATTTCTTTCTAAAGCAGCCACAGTCTGAGCAGAAAAGAAAGCAGCAGTTTCAATGCAGAGGTCTGATATGCTCCCCACTGAGGCAGACCTATAGTTCAACTGTAATTGGCAAAATTCATGTTCCCAGCTCTAGTTATGGTTCAGCAAGGGGTGTGCCTAGACTATGCAAAGAGACCTCTGCTTCCCCACAGAGAACAGGGTCCCACTCTGCAGTATGCAGGCAGGGGATCATCTTTTCTACTTAAGCTGTGGCTGATTTGTAAAGAAAAATAACTGTAAGACTTTGCACACCTTTGTTTTGTATCTGAAATGTATTTGGCTAAACAGAAAGTTGGACTAAGTTGCTTGTAAAATTGTAAACGATTGTTTCTTTTGTATTAATATTATCACTAATGTAAATGTACTAAGTCGCAATCCAGTCAAAATGTTTTTCTTTACTTTTAAATAGAGTGGGGAAAATTTAATATTTCAGCTAAGATGTTGTACCTTAACGTACATCAAACTATAAAGCATAAACTTTTAGTGAACCCCCTTTAAGGGTGAGTACATGGCAAAATGGTGGTATCATGAAGTCTTAACAGTAGAGAATTCCAGTGAGGGCGAGATAAAAATTTTACTAAAGCCTCAAATCAGATTAAAAAATTGCTCATATTGTATCTGCTTGTCACCTTGAAAAAGAAGGTTGCTTGAAATGTTGGTGGTGTTATTCTGATGTGGGATTGTAATAAACTCTTTATATGGATTTTTCTTTTGTATACTGGCTTTTCTAGAATTCGGTTTTTATACTTGTCTATTGAAGAGATCAAGTCACACTTTCTGTCCCAGTGACAACCATGTAAAAAATAAGGGGTGCTGTAGTAAGGAAAGCATGGTTAGCGCTAAGGGCTAGAGCAGACGTTCCGCCCCTTTTTCACTCTACTCTGAATTTCCTTTCATTTTCTATCCCCCAGTAGTAATACAGATGGCAATAAAAAACTTCTCTGAGGTTTTAACCTTTTCCTACTCTATTCAAAGCTGAAAAAGTTGGCTGGAGTTCAATTTAAAATGAAAAGTGATGGTTTATTTTTGTTTATTGTGCTATGCCTTTAGTCAAGTTCATTGTCCTGTAAAGTTAATTGGTCGTACATAGAGGGATTTTTCACTCTAATTATCCTTCTGTTATGGTTTCCTAGATTCTCCTTGCTCTAATATGTTGGGAATGATGTCAGGCCTTATTTCAGACTCCCAAATTACAGCTTCTTCTGCCAGGGATTACCTGTGGCAGCCTGGAGTAGCACGATTGGTCAGCAGTCGATCTGGCTGGTACTCTCTTATGTCCTCTGAAGACGCAGGAAAGGAATGGCTGCAAGTGGATTTGGGTGCCCTGAAAACTGTCAAAGGGATCATTATACAGGGAGCTCGTGGGGTAGACACCTCCACTGAAAACAGAGCATTTGTTAGGAAATTTAAAGTTGGATACAGCTTGAATGGAAACGATTGGGAGTTTGTAAAGGATCCAAAAACAGACCAAGCCAAGGTATGTACAAATCTTCATCCTTAGAAAACTAATACCACCTTCAGCTATCTTCTCTTTCTAAATTTATCAGTGCAAAAAAATATATTTTATGTAAATACATTGATTTAATTCTCCTTTGTCTATCTTGTTATGTCTGCTCCACTGTTTTGTAGTTGTTTGAGGGCAATATGCACTATGACACCCCAGAAGTCCGAAGATTTGAGCCAGTGGCTGCACAGTTTGTCCGTGTTTATCCAGAAAGGTGGTCTCCAGCTGGCATGGGCATGAGGATGGAGATACTGGGTTGTGACAGAACGGGTAAGGTCTTTTCATCAATAATTAAAAAAAAAAATGTTTTACATATCTTAATTAAATAAATTATTTACCAAATCATGACCTCTGATGGAAAAGTAAACCCTTGTTTTTGGTAGTTAATGAAGTCTGCCTTATTCACAATAACCTCAGCCAAACACAGGTGTACCTTCAGTCAGACATAGCAGGTCTTACAAGGTTTATTTAGCTCCTTAACAAAACATTTTTAGTTCACATATATTTTTGGGTTTTACTGCTTAAGTGATCTGCTTCAGATCACATCACAGCATTTCAAAAGGATTGAGGGCAGGTCCCTAAGTTGCCCATTCTAACGTACATGATTTCTGTATAGGTATAGCAATCTAAAACGTTTTATGTGTTGTCTGTTAAATTAGATTGATTATTATTGTAACATAGCTGAAGATCACAGTTTATAAGCAATTCATGCAGAAATTCAGAATATTCTATGGATTGCCAAACTTTTTCTTACAACAGCATATGTGTAGCTTAGATAGATTTATCACTGGATAGACAAATTCTACTTTCCATAATTAAATATATTCAGAAAGATTTACTTTTTCCTCGGTCTTTCGTGTTTACTGCAAAATTTTTAATATATCATTCTTTTATACAAAGTCATTTTTATTCTATTGTATTTAAATGATTGTGCTTCTTCTCTTTGTTTCCTTGGCTCTTAAAGGAGGTTGCTTTGCATGTGTTCTTATTATTAAACTGTCAAGATAGATTAAATGTCAACTGTTTGATATAGGCTAGTAATGGTTTTCTTTGTTATTATCATAACACTGATATTATTGTTTTTAGCATTGTGTTTATTTCTGAACCAGGAAATTGTACTTTAAATGCCGCTAATACATCTTCATCTTTTGTTTTCCTGCTATGTCTTCTGTTTTTCTAAAGAGGAGCAGCCTTGAGGTGTACATACAGTCCAAACACTGTCTTTATATAGAAAATGTGTTTATTTCTAAGATGTGTTAATATCATCAACTTACCCTTGAGCAATTTTCCTTTCTAAGTGAGGCAAAGGCTTTCTTTTTATAGCATAACTTCAACCACCCATTCTAGATACCTGGGTAGGCAAGCTGGGCCAGAAAATAATATAGATCAGAGAATTCTTTTTGATATTGTATATTGAAAGAAGCTTGCCTAAAAATTTGCCATTGAAACACTGAAAACCAATATCTGCTCTCCAGATGTGCTTCACGGAGAGCCTCTGGAGCTTTCCTTCAGCACATCTGGGAAACACATCTCCTTTGACTGCCTTTACAGGAAATAGAGAAGAGTAGTCCTTATAATATATAATTCTTCAGTGGTCACCCTGAACACATAACTCATTCCCTTCTATTTGTCATAACAGTTGATGTTGGATTTATAGTCTTTGTTAGGAAATCTAAATCTTTAAGATTTAAAGAAATAAATAAAAAAGCAAGCAAGATACTGTTCTCTAGCAATTATTCATGTGACCATTTATGTGAGCACAATTTTGAGAAATTACTTAAAGCTATTATCCGAATGGCTACCTTGGGATACGAAACAAAAAGGCTGATGTATAAAGGATTGAGGAAGGAAATCTGGAGAAAAATGGAGCAGTCAGTGATGGCTGCCAATTTGATTTTAACCTATACTGAGAGATCAGTCAATTAATTGGATTAATGCTCTATTTTTATTTTGCATCATGCTGCTCTAAGCTCACCTTGATGATGTTATACTTTTCTATGAGCTCTTCCTGTGATTATCCAGTACAAACCATTGGAAGCAGCGTGCTATCTACTTTATGTTCAGAGCTACCATTTAACTCTACAGACCAAAGGGTTGGTATGAGGTTTCCTGAACTACAAGCATTCACTTCACACCCCTTACCACTACAGTTCTTTGGTTGAGTTTAGCCACAAATGCCCAGATTTTAAAGTGTTACTAAACTCAGTTGTTTTTTTAAATAACAAACATGTTATACTCACCTTCTCGGTTCCCCTGGCAGTGATCTTGGCTCCTCCTCTTCTTATTGGGTCCCCATAGCAAGCTGTTTGCTTTGGAGGCACACAGTGTCTGCGCACTCCCAGGCTGTGTGTCTTTGGAGCCACGCTCCATAGACTTACACAGCGGGACTTAGCCCCGCACCCCACTTCTTCCTCACTGCATTTTATTGAGAGCATCAGGAGCCAATGGCCTGCTATTCAAGTCCCTGTTTGAATAGGAAGAGAGGGGAAAAGAGATGCAGTTATGTACAGCACTGGAGGGGGGGAGGTTTCAGAGAAATAGAAAATAAAAAACTACCCCTACCCTGTACCTTGCTGCCCTAGGCACTGGCTCATGAGTGCCATTATGGAAAATAGAATGCTAACTGTAGGCTATGTTTTTAAATAAGGTTGAGCAGAATTTTTCTGGTAATATAATCAATATGTATACCACTAGCAGCCTTCTAAAGGTCTGCCAACAAAGAAGAAATGTCATTTTCCCAATGGTATTTAAAATGATCCTTCACTTTGCTTACGCTGGTCTCCTGAGTCAAGTAAAAACATTTCTTTGGCCCTGGTGCAGCGATCACAATAAGGGCAGGTTATACTCTTATCTATGATTGAAAGCAGTTAGGTCTTCCATAGATGGCTTGTTTCTAAGTTCTCCAATTGCATATTATTGTTTATAGCTGGTATTAATAAAATGTTTATTGATATGACATGGGACAGGATAAGAATCTTTTGAAGTACTTAGTTGCAAATGAAGGTTGTCTATTTGCAGCTGTGACATAATAGCCTCATTCCATGGAATACAGACATACAAGTGCTGACTTCTTAATCCTGCTTGTCCTCACCTTATTCCTACTTAAAAAAAATTGAAAACAAATCTCTTCCCTCGATATTACATGCCAGTCTTGATCTTTGGGCTATGTGAGTGAAGTTGACAACTGGCACCTCTGCGTTCCTTCCTTTTCCGCAAGTTTCAGAAATCAGAGTACAGCTGCCAGAGGTTAATGGCTGGCTAACTCTAGGCTGAGGTTCTCGATGACTAAAGGTTGAATATATCATATGTCTTTGGGTCACTAAAGGAAGAGACTCTTTGGTCATGGTTTTTAGCTCCCTAGTGAGCTGCTGTCTAATGTTCCACTGGAGACTGTAAAATTCCACATTACTTTGGTTAGCAAAAACACTAATCACTCATCCCTAAATGACCTATATCTTCCTTTAACCCATTTAATGTCTAAAGGAGTTTATCATGCATTGTGACAGTATACTGTACAAGGAAACAAATAAAAGCATCACGTAATTCATGTATACAATGACATGGAATAACCTTTAAAATGAAGTGTTAGAGTTCTGGCATTCAAAAGTCAGTTATAATGCCTCAAATGACATTTTATAGGAACGCATTAACAAATATATGGCTTTCAAAAATGCAGTTTATACTTACTTTTATGGTAGCTTCCACACTTGTCATTTTAATTTGGTTTGCACCACATCTATTGGTGTGATTTTCCTGCAGTAGTTTGTGATTCTTCTCCTCCCACCATAGCCCTAACTACAGTGTCATGTTCTAAGGTCTGCAATAATTTGTTTATTTTGCATCCTGGAAACTCTACTTGGGATGTTTGATACTACCATTTGGAATAGTAACCATGGCTGTTTAGTGTAACTAGAAAAAAATGGGCACAAAACTGAAGTTGTTGCAAAAAGTGAATATTCAGAATACTAATTTAACTTTTAATACAATGAAAGGGGAAACCTGACTGGTTGTTATGGGCAACCAAGCTATTTTGTGCTAGCTCTACTTTCTGTAATGCTGATGAACCAACCCAGTTGTAAGTTATGCCAATAGAATGCACAAATTACAGAAAAGAGATGTTCTATAGATATGTAATTTTGTCAATACCCACAATTGCAGCATCCCAACTGTTGAAGATCTTACATCTGTAAGTTCTGTTTTGTTATGTTTTGCCAGCTGGGACAGGCACACATACCCTATTGCTACACTTTTTGGATATCTTTAGGATGATGTTGCTCTCCATCTTTCACTTCATTTTCAGTTGGATGTACTCAAAAATAAATAGGGAATAGTATTCCAAGGTTACATAAATGACTAAAAAGAACTGCCCAGATAAGAACTTTAAATGGCAGCTGTTCAGAAATACTGAACACCTTATGACTCATTCTCTAGGTCCAGCTTCCCTCTGATCTGTTCCGCTTCTCTGAGACATGCCCTGCATCTGGTATGGATCTTTTTTGAAGTTCCTAGTGTCTGCTTTCAATTATTGTACTGCTGGGCGTCTCAATCTGGACTTTCTTTTTGCTAGTCTGTGCTCAGAAGGGGGGCTTTCTCCTTCGTTCACTTTCTATTTCACTCACTGCAGTCTGATCATTTCTTTTCCATTATCTCACACAAATGTTCTTTGCTGCAGTGAAATAAGGAGAAACGCAGACAATTCTGTCGTCACAAACCAATCAGCTGCTCTTACAGCTGTGCATAGGGAATTTTTTTTTGTCAAGACTTGTGTGTGGTTTGAAATTTTGAAAAGAAAAGAAAAACTACTAGCCAGAGATTAGCTACAGACAATTTGCACCTTCAGCACAGGTTCCATTTGTTCGTTGTCTTCTAGGTTATGAGCATACCTTTCTCAATAGTAAGTTTTGCTTCATAGAGCATTTCACATTCAGGTGTCATTTCAGTATATTAACCTCAAGGTCTCTGTTAATGTTGGACTTAGAAACTACATTAACGGGAATACTGACCTTTCTACAATCAAAATTCAATTAAATGCACGTATCAGTAGGGCTTACTGTAAAATGACATTGCTTATATTTTAAGTAAAACATTCTCTTTGTTGGGGTTATTATTGTTAGGGCTCCAGATAAAGATTCATCTGTATTTAATGCAGTGTGATTACCAAGAAGGTACTCAAGGCTGATTGTTTTGGTCATGTATTCCTTTACAAATTATGGGACCACTGAGGATCAGTGGCATGCACATGCATTTTTTCAGTTTTTCCACATGTCATA